AGCTGCTGAGTAAGATCATGGATGAAAAGAGCGGCAGCTTGGTTGGTGGATCCCTATACCGACCAAAGGTCCTTTCTGTCAGCACCTCAGAACTCTCCAACATCAGTGAAGTCAACGGGCAGTTGGAGAGCAACAACAACAACTACTGCATCAAAGAGGAAGAAGGAGGCGACCTGGAGGACGACAGCCTGGCCACCGGTGCCTCTGGTCCAGCTGAACCTCCAACCACTGTTGACACTAAAAGTCCAACTAAACAACCTTCACTTTCCAAGTCTTTGGAAACTTGCTCCATGTCTGCTCTTGCTAAACAGGAAGATGAGGACTTCTGCATCCTCCACACTGAGGACTTTGAGACAGAGGACGACGCAACCTACGACTCAGGAACTGAGAGTCAAACTAAAGTGCCACTGAGTGCCTGTAGTGAACCGATCACTGAAGATGAATCAGAAACGGTTGTGTCAGGACCGAGTGTTCCTCATTACACTCTGATCCTCCTCACTGTGCTGGTCTATGGTTACTTTGTGTTGCCTTTGCCCAGTTATATCGGAGGATTGCTGTTTGGAATTGGACTTGGATTCTTTTTAGCTATTGGTGTTGTGTGGCTCACGGGACCAAAACCTTCTGGTGGATTCAGGTTTTCCAGACACAATGGGAAGCCTTGGAATCTGAGCAGGTTGGACATTAAGGAGCCGGAAATTTTCAAGGTTGGTCAGACATTTCTATCTTTTGTTTTTTTTTTGTTTTGTTTTTTACAATATTGACAAAGAAGCCAACGATCCATGTGAACTCTCAGGAAATAAAATGTGATTTTTTTTTTCCAGGGTTGGATGAACGAAATATCACATTACGACCCAGAGACGTACCACGCCACACTGACACATTCCGTGTACGTACGGTTGGAGGGCTCCATAATTCGTCTGTCCAAACCCAACCACAACATTGCCCGCCGTGCCTCACACAATGAACCCAAACCAGATGTCAGCTACATTAGTCAGAAGATCTACGACCTCACCAACAGCAAAGTATTTTCTCTAATGACTTGTTTGTCATCTACTGTTTACTTATAGGTGTTCACCTGGAGTTAAATAGTGTCCAATTTTTGTTCTTAGGTGTTCCTAATGCCTCAGAGTTTGGCCCGAAAGCGAATATGGAACAAAAAATACCCAGTCTGCATCAAGCTTGACAAACAGGATGACTTTATTTCCAAAGCTGAGGGCGACAGGTCTGAAACCCACGACAACACAGGCACCAAGGAGAGAGGAGAAGGCGGTGGTGGAGTTCAGGAACGTGGATCTTCATCTGCCTCCAGTAAAGACCTGACTCTTTATCTGTTTGGAAGGACGGGCAGAGAGAAGGAGGAGTGGTTCCAGCGTTTTCTTTTAGCCTCCAGACTCAAGGCGGACCTGAAGAAAAGTTCAAGTGTTGTTGGAAACAAGACCGGTGAGATATATTTCTGGTCCCTGTTTCAGAAATTTGGTAAAAAATATACTAGGAATGATTCAATATTACTTTGTCTGTTGAGTACCAGTACTAGTACTGCAGCCTGAAGTACTAAAACCTGCTTTCCCTGTCTCTTCAGTTCAGCTGAACATGTACTTTGTATTGATGCAGTACTACTGCTGGTTTTTATTTAAACTTTAAAAGCATTCTTTATTGTTCAGAAAGTTTATTGTTTTTTCATTTAACTCTTTAATTTAAGAATTTTAGTTCTAGTGTAAAATGAAAAACTCACTGCAGCCTGAACATCAGGGAGAAAGGAAAATATTTTCTCTGAAGACTGTGAGTTCAGTATTTCTAACTTCATGGGAATTCAAATTAAATAATGACATTTTCAGATTAGTTGCTGGTGCTGCAGCAGCAGTCTACAGCTGCATGTCATAGAAACAACTTTGTGGTTCTGTCAGGTTCACTTCCTCACAACTTGTCCACTGGGGTCTGTCGTCCACAGCTCCCAAATCACACAGTCGCAGCAGCAGCCGCAGCAGCCTGGACGAAGCACTGGCCTGTCAGCCCAAACTGAAGGACTCGACCGGCTCTTCAGGAGCGAGACCCAAGCCCTGGTTGGACTACGAGGTCTACATGTCCACTCTACTGCCAGAACAGCCAATAGTCAGCCCTTCAGTGACCAGCCCGGTTCTCCTGAGTCCACAGAGCAGTCCAGGAGCGGACAAAAAAGTAGGACATCAAACTCTGCGTTTTTATTTATCACTTTTATTAAACATAGTCAACTGATGCTGATGTTTCCTGTTGGTCTGGGTTTATTTTTAGCTTCAGAACAGCCCTCCAGCGTCAGAGCAGCCCAGAGGTGAGGAGGAGGCTGTTGCCTGGATGAATGCTGCTCTTGGTCGGGTCTTCTGGGACTTCCTGTGTGAACCCTACTGGGCAGAAGTAGTCTCCAAAAAGATACAGATGAAGCTCAGTAAGATACGGGTTAGTAAAGATATCACACACAATATATAATAAATGTATGTTCTGCTGAATGCTGTGTCTTAGCACTTGGCTAAATCTGTGGCTAATGTTTAATATTTTTGTTTTCTAATAAAAACAGTTATTTTTGTGACTTCATTCAACATTGAATCAATCAATAACCTTTATTTAACCAAGTAAAACTTTGCACTGAGATTAAACCAACAGAGACAAGTTGGTTGGCAACTTATTTGTTTCAACAGAAATGTGTGTGTCGTATGTGTTACAGCAGTGGGTGTGTGTTCTCGATTCTTGGCCTTCTCCCAGTACACTGTGGTCATATCTGTTAGTAACACTGCAGTATCATAACTGTAAGATGGTGAAGTTAGAACTGTTGAGCAGATCATCCAAACTGTGTGTGTGTGTGTGTGTGTGTGTGTATTTTTTAGCACTGGGTTGGTTGTTACACATTCTACTAATTAAATGTACTTCACAGTTTACGTTGCTCACTCAGGTGTTTATGTCCTTTCCAGTTGCCTTACTTCATGAACGAGTTGACCCTGACAGAACTGGACATGGGCTCAGCCACGCCCAGAATCTTGGGGGCGTCCAAGCCATCTATCGACTACAGAGGCAAGAGAGAAATCCTTTGGATTTTCACACTTGTTCACACAGTTTTCTTTTTTTTTCTTTTTTTGGTCTATTGATCAAAGTACTGCAGCACCTGAACATATTAGTCCTTCATAATAATACTATATACATGTTAGTCCACAGTACTATATTCTAGAGCAGGGGTCCGTAAAGGTCAGGGTCATTTTGATTCATTTCATGTTCTGTGTGACATCACAACATTAATTGTTTAGGCTTCAGGTTTATACTTTATTTTTTATAAAACAAACTAATGGCTTTCATAAAAATGGGAAGTCGTTGTTGTGTCAACACGGTCTTGTTTAATCAAATGGGCAATATTCCATAGAAATAAAGCTGTGTTTTAGCAAAGCCTTCCTGCACATAAACCACCCTCTCCCTCCATCAAATTGTTTTATCTAATATTTCTTTACACTTTACTATTATTTAATGTTGAATTAACCAAAGATGGCTGACATTTCCGTTGATGATGTGTATATTCTAGCCTCAAACACACTCCTGGTGTGAAACATTGACCAGGAATAAGCTGCAGCTGTTTGGTTTTTTTTTTGCACACGCAATAAAATCAGACCGTAGGCCACAGATTTCCATAATTTCCTTGAAATACGCTAATGACACACAGCAAAAACCCCTGGTAAACTGTGTCAACTCAACCGCCTGAACAGGCTGTAAACTGTAAACAGGTGGTAATTAAATCATTGAATTTATTTTTTGTACTAAATTCAAATGAAACCTCATCAACTTTTATCAAACAATTATTTTCAAAGTTGACTTTGTTCCTTGTATGAAGAGTATAAAAAAAAAATAACAATGGATCACACATTCACCAATTCACAACATTGTGTCAGTGAGCTCAGAGATTTATGGATGTGTTCGGTCCATGTCACACTGTGTTTTTTAGCAGAACTAATCACAGAACAGGGATTCTCTTAGTGTTGATGTGTCTGACGTGGTCCATGGTAGAACACAGGAGGGTGATGACTGCCGTCACCCAGAAAAACACACGTCTCTGCAACACTGGCCACAACACGCACCCTGGACATTGCTTACCACCAGAGGGAGTCACCTATGAAACGTAAAATATTTAGAGAACCACAGTTTTAGCTTGTTTGGCTACTAAATATTTTTTTTCAAATTCCTTCCTGATTTTTTTCATCTTTCCTGTCTGTCAGTTGTGCGCAGAAAAAAACAAGTGTTTTTTGCTCATGCTCTCGTGCTCTTTGTACACAGTAATGTGTGGTAACTGACAGAGGTCACATGGTTGGTACTGTGCAGGCCAGAGAAGTTTGAACCAGATTACAGTGGTAAGAGTGGAGCAGAGGTGACGCAGGGGTGTGGGGTGTATGCATCTACATCTCCCCCTGCTGATCTACAACAGGTACTAGATGGGTGAGATTGAACTCTCTGCAGCTGTTTCTCCCAGCAGGTTGTGATCTCTGTCTTTCTTCTTCCCTTTTCACTGAGTCATTCTCATCTGAATACAGGAGTAAAGAAAATACTTTCTTCTGCTGATGTCTGGGAAGGAGAGAGGAGGCACAGAAGGGGCAAGGGAGGAGTAGGGGAGGGTTCAGGGATGGGGGGTGTGTTTGTTTTATTTTTAGTATTCTTCTCTCATTTCCTCTCATCCTTCTCGTTGAAATACCTGCTTCTCACATCAACCCGTCTTCTCACCACCTTGTGTCCCTCAGGCCTGTGGTTTGATCTGGACGTGTCCTACAGCGGCTCCTTCCTGATGACCCTGGAGACCAAGATGAACCTGATTCGCCTGGGTAGGGAGGGAGAAGGCCTGCGAGTAGGAGAATATGGCAAAGATGGGTAAGAGACCTGAGCTGCTTCCTTCCCTCCTTCCTTCTTACCTACACCTTTGACAAAAGCATTCAAGTGGACAATGATGCAGAAATGACTTTGTCAGGGTTTGTTTGTCCCTGAGTGTCGTCTACTGCTGAAGTTTCTGCAGATGAACATCTGTTTTGTTTGTAACAACAAGGGGGTGACGGTCAGTGAGGTCGTACAGCTTTGGTTAGTGTATTAACATCAAAGTAGTGTTGAAGTAACAACGTGAACTACAGGACTGACCACTGAGAAACATCCAGGTTCAGTCTTGACTCTTGACCTTCTACTTCTTCTTCCCTCTCTGTTTGTTCTTCTCCTTCTCCTTCTTCTTGTTCTTCTGCAGCAGCCTGTTCTCTCTCACTGTTCAACCGTTACCATGGTTACATGAACCCGCCCTCAGGTGTCACCCAGCTGAAGGGCGGGTTCCCACAGTTGTAGAACAGAAGAGTAATAATCCATCTGTGACTGGCTCTTTATCCTTTCACACCACAGCGTGTTCCTCATGTTTCATTCAGACGTCGAGGGACCAGTTTGTTTTTTCTTACCTGTTTTCTGTTTGACGTTGAAGTGTCTAATGTTTGCGTTTACCTCAGCCTTTTTGTGTCACCTTGTTGGTTTGCCCAGACTTCTTACCTCCTTCTCTCTTCTCTGCCCCCTACCCTCTGGATTCTGCCTTTTGAAATATCTGGTAAGTGCTGTGTAATGATCCTCATGTTCTAATATCACACCATACCGTAACCCAGAGCCACTCACAGCATCGTCTTTATCACATGGATTTTCTTTTGTTATCTGCTGCTGTCTCTAAAACAGACCACCAAAAAACCCCCACCTGATGCACTGCACCTGCTGAGACTTAGTCCTAACATATCAGCTGTCACAGAGGTGAAGAGAACAGAACAAGTCATTCTGTATTTCCCCTCTCAAACCCACACTCGAGCTTGTTTTGATTTGTTGACATGACAACAGACAGACATTAATACGACCAGTGTAGTGTCATCCCAAGGAACAATTAGTTTACGGTTCATTGTGATTTAACCAGGGAAGGTCATAAGATTATTCACGAGTAAACATTTGCATTGATTGACAATTAAAACATCATGACCTGTCTACACAGCGACGAGTGGGAGGAGACAACACGTGTGATTGACAGCCAGCTCCACCAATCAGGCCTTGACACTGTCTGTGGTCTTGACCTGCCGTACTGTGTCAGAACTCGTCTCAGTCATTATCAATGCAGACCAGGAAATTGGCAGAAAAATATGAAGCATTGATTAGTTCCACATACACAATGGACTTTGTGTCTCCCCTCACGTGGGTTATTATTTTTGTTACTCATGTACAGTCCATAACACAACAGTCTTGTTAGTCTAGGGCAGTTTGGCCTGTGTGCAGCCCCATAAACCTCAAATAGGTCAAAAAACAGAGATAACAGAATAAACTGTCGCCCAGTGATGTCATGAAACAAACCAACCAATGAGGAATAAACAAGGTTAAATCAGAAAAGTTGAAAACATGTTCTCTCTCAGAACCTTGCCAAAGATCTGTTATGTGTCCGTGCATGTAAAACACACACTCACACACACACACACACACACTTTGAAACCCTAACATCTGCCATTTCACGTCCAGTCGTTTGTTCCATCTGCAGCAGAGCTCATTCTGTAAGGACAATAAAACCCATCAGAACGTCCTGGTACTCCATTGCATGACGGTGTGTGTTCATGCATGTTACCATGCGTGTATGTGTGTGTGTGTGTGTGTGTGTGTGTGTGTGTATACTTGATATGAACAGATTGTGTGTGTTTTTTTTTCAAACTTTTTTTCACGTGTCTCCAGGTACAGACCTCGGACCTACTGTCTGGCTGACAGTGATGAAGAGTCGTCCAGCGCCGGCTCTTCAGATGAGGAAGATTCATCAGAGTTGTCCAATGACTCGGCCGGAGCAGAGGGGTGAGAACGACACACACACACACTGACAACATTTGTAAACATGTTCCTGTCCATGAAGTACCAGAGAATGATGGATTTTAGAATCTGAAAATTAAAAGATAATAAATATTTCTGTTAAATGTCTCCATAAGCTAATAGTCGACCTTTTTTGTCTTTTGTTTTTTTTGTTTTTGTAAAAATCATGAAAAGCCATACATTTTCCACAGCTGGAAAAGCTTGATATCAACCTGGAAAGTGCTTGTCAATGCCTTGAATCAGATCATGTAAACAATGTCTGATCCAAGACTGAGAATAAATAAAGATTGGAAATAATTCACCATTTCACTGTTGATACAGAGCGTTTGTTCTGGACTCAAACTAAAATGTTTACTTTGTTGAACACAGATTTGTGGGTGGCCACAAGCCCAGCAAGATCATGCGCTTCGTGGACAAGATCACCAAGTCCAAGTACTTCCAGAAGGCCACAGAGACGGAGTTCATCAAGAAGAAGATGGAGGAGGTGTCCAACACCCCGCTGCTCCTCACCGTGGAACTGCAGGAGCTGCAGGGAACACTGGCCGTCAACATTCCCCCTCCACCCACGGACAGAATCTGGTAAATGAGTGTTTGTCGTTGTGAGGAATAATGACGTCTGTGTCTGAAAATGACGTCTGTGTCTGAAAATATAGGGAGGTGAGAAGACTGATTCATGAGCTTCATGTGACCACTTTCTACTCTGAAACTCCACAGCATAAACTGTCAGCGATAGTTCAGTCTACCGCTGCCCCCTGCCGGTGGCTAGCTGTACTGCGTACTCAGCGTGGTTTTAAACGGCTGATTGTATTGTTGAACTCTGGTCACAGGTACGGCTTCAGGACACCACCTCATCTGGAACTAAAGGCTCGGCCCAAACTGGGAGAGAGAGAGGTGACGCTGGCTCATGTCACCGACTGGATCGAGAAGAAACTGGACCAAGAATTCCAGGTAAGACTAAGACTCAAGAAAAATACCTATAAAAACCTATGTTATAGCAGGTAAGACTAAGACTCAAGAAAAATATGTTATATGTATTTGTGTTAAGTGCCTGAATTTTACTTTTTTATTTACAATAAATAAATCTGCTTCTGCTCTCCCCAATCAGAAAGTCTTTGTGATGCCAAACATGGATGACATCTGGTTGACCATCATGCACTCTGCCATGGACTCACGTACAGCCACTGGACCTACAGCTCCATCGGTGGACACACAGTGGTCTCCGCCCCAGAGCGACAGCCACCCCTGAGGATTGTTTACAGTATTTTCACTCACATTATGAAGGTCTGGGAAAATAGGAAGTGGAGCCATTGGCTGTGGGTCAGAGTGTGACCTGCTTACAGAGAGGGGAGGGGGTAGAGAAGAGGAAGGAGACACTTTAGGACGCACACTGTCGCTGACTGCTGCTCTGTTCAGAAGTATTTATGTTGGGAGAGATAAGACGGACGTTTGTCCTTTAAGGACAGTCATTAGAGTCCGTAATGATTTAAAGGTTAGTGGAGATGTGGGTTTGGTGTAGGAGCATTCACCTGATACCTTGCAGCCTGGTTCTACTCAGGCTTAGACTTAAACTCTATAGAGATGAAGCACAGAGATTATTGTGGATTATCAGATGAGTCATGGATTAGAGTTAGTGTGATGAAGAGGAAGTTGAGATGGGAAGTTTTGATAATTTGTGCTAAAGGACGTCCTGATCCTGGTCCAAAGAATTGGCTCAGAGATTTAAACTCATAACCGATCCAAAACACAGCTACTAAGCTGACTCACTGTTTGTGGAGTAGGTACAGATGTGTTACTGATACTGCCACACTAGCAGCTAAACACAGCCAGGGTTCTGTAACCTACTAAAAAACACAAGAGATTTTCTGCTCTTCTTTGTTGTCACATGAGATTAATCCAAGCACAAAAACTACTACTTTAACTTTTAACCAGAACTAAGTAATCCTGTTTAAAATCCGGGGCTAATTGTTAAAGGTCAAACACACGTACGTACGTACGTTGGCCCAGTGTGAAAGGGGACTGCAACAAAACAGACCATTTTGTGCGGAGAAATACACCGAAAGATCTGAAATTGGTTCAGTCTGAGGTTCTGAGTTGAAGTTAAAGAACTGACACGATATTTTAGTTTATTTTTGTTGAAAAAGATGCCGATCCTCTACCAATCAATGCCTCTGTGCCTGCGCAGAAGGAATGTGCTGCTGCTGTACATTTTTGCATAAGTTGTAGTGACAAAAACTGCAACATCTACAACATCAGGAACAGGTAGTAAAAAATCCTTTTTAAAAAATCGGTTTGACTGTAACTGAAGGCTGAAGGAGAACCAAAGAGAGCCTAATTCTCAGTTGAGTTCAGGACTTGGATCTGACCCAGGATCAGGACTTCCTCTGTTGATTCACTGTGAGATGGAACCCTGAAGTGGTTCGTTGTGGGGTTTCCATTCAGGTTCTACCCAACAGTATTTTTCTGTGCTGCGATTACATTTGACAAATCTCCTTGTTTTGATTCATCTTTGAAAATGACACAACATAAGATGATATGTTGAAGTGCAATGATAGAGAGCTGCTCAGTCTTCAGTACGACATTTGCACTAGTGTTAAATGAAGAGTTAACGTCAGGAATCTCTGACACCTCGAATGAATGTTTAAACACATTTTATTTTTGCCTTCTTTGGTTACAATTACACAGTAACTTACTGAGTGGGGGATGGAAATGATTGCACAAATACAATGGTTTTTTTATTTTTCAGATTATAGATATTCTATTCATCACAGCAGGTAAACCTGTGGTACAGACTCAAAAACCTATGGTCCTCTTGCACAGGCACAGAGGCATTATGCAACAGTCCTGGTTTCAGATTTGTACTTTAGACCAGTTTCCCCATGCCAACATATGAATTAACATACTGTGACTGTCTTTACACATGGACCAAAAATGGACCAAAAAGAGATGAGGACTAAATGGTTGAGCTGCTCACATGTGGCCATGCTACAGGTTTTTTCTGTTTCCGTTCTTGTTTACTCTTGTCTTGCAGAAGAAACAAACGTGGTACTCTGGTAAGGGCTAATGGCTGTGTAAGCTAGCATTAGCCTTACTCGCTAATGAAACAGTTAACTATTGTAGTACAACAGAAACGGTGTAGCGTTGCAGAGCCCTAACTTGTCACCAGCAACATGTTGAAGTGAGTGGCGCTGTTATGTCATTAAATACAGGCCTCTCTGATTGGCTGACATTGTAGTGCATTCATTCTGCAGTAGTTTGACCTTTTTAATCCCAGTCATCCTGTGGAAAAATACATCTTTGTCATTTGAACGACATCAGACTGGCAGTGGTTATCTTATACTTACACCTGCATTAATATTTAGACCTTTGTCCGACATTCCTACCGTGTTTGGCTGAGACCAGATTATGAAGGACATTTATTCCCATTAAAGTCACCTTTTTACCACTACTGGTCCTCTTACTGTAGTTCAGACAGCTTTTGTTTTTTCTTTTTTTTTCTTCATTTGCGGTAGAATAAATAACTACACTAACTATAATAAATATGTTTATTAACCAAGTCCAACCAAGTTTGTTTTTTGATTGGTTAATGTTCAGGTGAAAGTCTGCTGTTAGTGGCTGCGTCCATTTCAATAATGTTGCCTATGTTTCTGATGTGACATCGATTCATTAAGTTGTTGAAGAACCAGGAGGTTTATGGATCGACTCATCAAGAAGGTCAACGTGACTCACAGTGAACTCTTTTTTTAATTGTATTTCTTTTTCTAACACATCAGTGCTTCGCCTGCTGCCATACTGTACGCAGACTGTCACGTAATGTAGTACACAGTACATGGGTGAAGATACTGAACACTAAATAGTCTGTAACAGAGCAACTGTTGCCAAGAATGTAAAAGTTAATGAACAGGTTCCTCTTCAGACTCCCACCTTTTTATTCCTGTTTCTAATCCTGACCAAAGTCAACCAAGTCTGCAGTCTTGTCTGTTCTCGAAGGTACACATTCTGTTATGTTAATATTACACATCAGACAATGCTAAAAAAACATTCTACTGTTTGATATTGAAATGTTTCACATTAGTTTACAGTCATTCATTTCCTCTAATTTGCTTTCAGCGCTGTCATCTTAACTGGAACGTTTTGTTTTTGAAACCGTTATCTTTTCGTTGACATGTTTTCCATGTTGTGAAGCTTTTGTTTGAAAACTTGTGAGATCGGCTCTGATTTTTGTGATTCTTTTTTTTCCCCTTTGAATGGAATGATGTATTTTTAAGGTGAAATGAAGGTTATGTTGTGATTTGTATCTGTGACAAAAAAAGTTAGTTTGAGGCCAAATTCAGTGATTACGTGTAACTGCCTTATTTATACACGAATAAAGTCAATAAAAAATTCAACATGTGATTTTCCTTTAAGATGATTTTGTATATCCTAAAATATATATTTTTTAATTTTACTCGGAGACTAAAGTCCACAGACTTTAACTTTTATAATTAAATTAAATTAAAACTACACATCTACATATTTTGGTACTATAATTAAAACGATCTATTTTAATTAGAGAATAAAATCGCAGGTTGTCAAATTAAGCTTTTCTTCTTCGTCTCCTTCACCGGAAGTTTGCTGTTGCCTAGCGACGGCCTATCGACCGCATCTGAAGTTCAGGTGAGTCGACGCTACTTCAAAATGAAATTAAATAAAACGGTGTTGCTGGGTTATGGTGGTAAGTATGGTTTTGTTTCCTGCAGGCAAGTTCAGTCAACGCTGTCTCTGCGGCCGTGTCTTGATAGCTCAGTCTCCTGGCCCACGGCTAACTGTGGTGAGAGCTAAGGGCTAGGCTAATGCCGCAGGAGGAGAGTTTGTCTGTTCTAGTTCAGTAAATTAAAGTGAAAATTAACTGAACAGAATTATTGCGTGCTGCGTCACAGCTTACAGACAAAAATACGAAAAAAGCTTTTGTTGGTTATTAGTTTTGAAAAAGTATAAACTTGTATCAAAGACATTAATGAGAAGGTGTAAAAATGATACCATTAGCCCCTGTGTGAGCAGCTCCTCTGGTGGTCACTGACCTTTACTGCTCTTATTCTGGTTATTTTTCAGAAAGAAAGAAAAAAGTTAATAATATAAATAGTTTTTTAACCTGAGACCATATCCTGAGCTGTTTGCTTTAAATGACCTTTGTGTCGTCTGTGACTTGTTGAAACAATTTCAAAAACGTTTTTTATTTTACTTTATTACTGCATGAGGTCAAAGGGTCAGAATGATGAAACAAACTTACAGGAACTGACCTGTTATGTTACATTGCTGTTCTTAGATTTCTTAAAATCCAAAGTCAAAAGGAAAGAAGCAAAGGTGAGAGAGTGAGGATGGAGGGACGGGGCCTTTCAGGTGAGGATGACACCCAGGTGAAGGAGACAGAGGAGCGGACAGTGACCGAGGTACTGTTTGATGCTGCTGTGAAACGAATGAGCGGTTACATCAAAAACAAACTCATTATTTTAAACATATTTCTGTAGGGTCCAACAGAACCAGAGAATGATGGATCAGGACCACAGCCTCACCGCGGTCTGAGTGGAGTGGAACAGAACTCTGCTGCAGCCACTGATTATGGTCAGTGTGGTCAGTATAAATACCTGTGATCGTCCTCAAGTTACATTTAAAGAAATAAGACATGTCGGATTGTGGCAAAGCTCTCCTGGAGAGTGCGGGAAAATACATTTAAAGTTTAATATCTATATATGGGTTCACAGAACCAAACACTTCAGAAGACCTGGAAGGTGAGGAGCTGCTGCAGAAGGATGAAGAGGAGGAGGAGGAGGAGGAGTTACTGGTTCTGGATCCTGAACATGTTTGTACTACTTCTTCTCTTTTACTGTTTGTCACCTACTGCATGTTTCTGTCAATTCTCATCTGTCTGAAATTTTCCTACCTTTGTTTTACGACTGCAGCCTCTTGTCAAAAAGCAACAGGCGGCTCTGACTAAACACCTGAAGAGGCAACTGGAGAAGATCAACCTGGAAATGAAGGAGAAGGTAATCCTCCTCTGCGGGACTGTTCTGTATTCATGGGCTATCAATTTGGCCACACGGTGGTGCTGTTGACCAGTATAGCTCTTTTGCTCTCACAGCTGGTGCAGGAAAAACAAGACGACAGACACAGAGAGGAAACTGGAGTGGAGATGTTCAGGATCCAGGAGCAGCTGTCCAGACTCCACAGCAGACTGGAGGAACAGCATCAGACCAAAGAACAGGCTGAAGCCAAACACCGACAGGCCCTGGATCAGCTGGAGGAGGCCAAGAGCAAATATTCAAATATAGCCAGTCACCACGGCAGGGCCAAAGCCAGTGGTGAGAATCAGTCATTTCATGTCATCAAGGTTGTTTACTGTAACTTCTACAATCCTAGTCTGGGATTTTTTTTTTTTTTTTTTTTTTTATCTCCTCCCTCCAAAAAGTATAGAAAGTTTATAAAAATGTGTACGTAAATACATTTAGCTGCACAGTTAAATTTGAATTGATTTAACTGGTTCCTGGTCAGGATGTCCAATAATATTGGCCGACCAATATTATCGTCCCAATATTAGCATATATATGTAATATGGCTGGGATTTTTTTAATGAAAACCCGATAACGCAATGCCTGGATTTCGCCAAATCCAAAACTATGCTGTGATTATTCAGATTAAAAATCTTAATCTGGGAGCAGCAACAAAAAAGGCTGTGATGGGGAAATGGAAGTGATGGTATTTCCACTCTTATCCCCTCTGTGACTTCACGGACCAATCAAATCAGTTAACTGTAATGAAGTTGTTCTTGGTTTAAAAAAATGAAACTGAGAAGTTCTAAATGAGTCCTAAAATGACCTGGAGGTCCTTAAAGTGGGTCTGGAGGCCGTTCAGTTCGATGAAGAGAATCTGTTTCTCCTGCCCAGTGTCTGAACTGCAGGTGGAGATGGACAACCTGATGCTGCACCTCCTCTACACACAGGGAGTCAGTGAAGATCTGAGGTCCAACGTCAAAGCCTTGATGAACGTGAGGAGCAAAGCTTCAGCTGAGAAGAACCAGGCTGAAGACAAGAAACTGCAGCAGGTGAAGAAGACGTCCGACGTAGACAGAGGTGTTTGAGTCATGCTGAAGTTTGAACTCGATGAATCCACGTCCCTCTCCTCAGGATCTGTACGTGGACCGTCTCACCAAGGAGCTGGACAGACTGACTCAGCAGATAGCCCTCTACCAGAGCCAGGCCCGTGTTCAGGCCGAGGAGACACGAGCAGCCAGACAGGCTGAGTCTGAGGTGAAGATGGAGTCAAATCAGGTCAAAGGTCAAGGGATAGATTCAACAGCTTCAAGAGTTTTATTTTGGAGGGTTTTATTCATTTGATCAGTCAAGGAAACATGGTAGAAATACACAGGACAATATCTAATCAAACTAATTAAACACAGAAGTCTGTTAACTGAGATGAACTCAACAAAAAGGGTAAAGACAGAGAACAGTTATTTAACTTTCGGAAAATTAATAATTTATTTAAAGTGACTTAAATGCAGGTCATAGGTCATTCATTCACTACGTTTGTAAAGAATATTAAAAATAATATAGTTCTGTTAATAATAGTAATAATAAAAGGCTTATTATTATTATTTATTAAATGATGTTACCATTACTGTAGTTATTTACAGTGTTTTTTATATTTAGTGGACCCACAGGTTTGTGTGTGTGTGTGTGTGTGTGTGTGTGTGTGTGTCGTGTCCAGGCTGAGATGGAAATGGTGACTGTGGAGATGGTGCGTAAACAACTGCTGCAGCAGTGGAGGAGCAGCCTGGTGGACATGAGGAGAAGAAACGACGGCCTCACTGCCATGAGGGAGGCGTTACGGTGAGAGGGACGCAGTGAGGACTATGAACCAACCACAAACTGAACGAACTTCAACGGCCTCTGAAAAAGTCTTACATTTGTGTTTTGTACACTTCATTTGTCAGTGAGCTTTTTCAGCCGATCCCCAACCCGCCCAAAGTATTTGGCTCCACCCAAGTCCAGCCCAGGACTTAATGATTTACACGGTGAATTTACAGAATCCAAATGAATGCTAACATCCCCTGATCTTTCTTCTATACCCCCACCTTCCCGTCCCCCTGACCCCTCGCAGCCTGACTGAACATCAGCTGATTCTCCTGGACAGAGAGATTGACGGCTACAAGAAGTCCATCACTGAAGAACAGGAGCAAAATGAGACCCTGACCCTGCAGCTGAACTGGTCTCAGATGGACGCAGCCTCCTCGAAGAAACTTCTGAGTCAGAAACAGGCCCAGTATGAGGCGCTGCAGAACCAGTACAGCACCTGTGTTCGCATTCTGAGGGAAACGGAGGGAACCCTGGCCCGGCTCACCAAGGTAGGAGAGACATTTGTCTCTTTGTCCTCTGACTTTATTTGTGTTTATTATGTGTTCTCTGATCTGTCTTTGATAGGAGACCACCGCTCACCAGACTGAGGTCAACAATCAGAGGAGGCAGCTGGAGAAGGAGAGCGCACTGCGTCTGGAGTTGGAGGAGAAGATCATGGTACACATGCAGCAGCAGCTCACGTTCACCAAGGCTGCCAAGTACTCACAACAACTGACCAGTCGGACCAGGGCCCTGAAGAAACAGAAGGTACGACTGGGACCAGCTCATGGTTCAGTTGCAGTCAAATATTTATTTGAAGGTCATTGATCTTCTGAGGGTGCGTTCACCTGTTCTTCACAGATGTCTCAGTTGTGGCAGTTGGAGAATGACCTGTTGGTGGTGGAACTGGAGATCACTGAGGTCAGCGAGCAGCTGGATGCCCTGACCGTTGCTCAGAAAGCCATGGACGAGGAGATCGCCAAGTTCAACCAGTCGCTGACGTCCAACCTGGCTAAGAATTCCTCCTTCATTAAAGTCATCGAGCAGAAGCAGAGCAGCATCACCGACATCAACAGAAAGATCGCTCAGATCGCAGCCAGCACCGGGGTGAGGAGCACCACGCTGCACCAAATATGGGTCGCAAATTAGAAAATAAATAAATGAGGCAGTAAGTCAGAGCAAAAACGAGTTTCAAAATAAAAAAACTAGAACTTTGGACCCCTATGAAAAACAGTTAAACCAGAGGGGGGTCAAAGGTTAGCTCTGAACTGAATAGAAATTCTACCAGTTTGGTGGAAATTCTATAATGTAGGCTAATGATGACTCAGTAGTAGCACAGAAGTAACACATTTCTGCAATTGTTGCCAAAACACTTAGTGTATTTTTAAAAATATCTAAAAAAATGAATTTAAATGATTTAAATATAAGTTAAAAAGGTAGAAAAAAATCACCAAACAGCTATGCCTTATAATGTCTTCATGTTAGTGCATGGGCAGTTCAAAGTAAACAGCTGATCGTTAGCCTAGCTGATTGGTAGCCTAGCTGAT